AAGAAAGACACCCCCCCTACCACCACCACCGCCGTCAAGGGTCCGGCGGATGAGACACATGGCCGACCAGGACTTGTTCGACGATGTGAGACCAGTTGCCCCGAAGGGACGTTCATGGGGTACGGGGGCGACCTTACGGACATGGACGTTTTTGACTGCGGGTTGGGCAGGACAACGCAATGGACGGGCGTGAAGACCCTGCGGCAATAACAAAGCTCGAGGCGAGGGATTATTCGTTTGTTTCTGTCAGTGTTCCTTGGTGTACTCCAGCAGGTACAATGGGGACGGGGGGGGGGGGTGCGGACCGCAGAGACCCCAGCGGGACGGTTTAGTTCCTGTTACGTGGGGGCGGGCTCAATTCAGTTTCATCGGTTGCCCGGCTCGTCCGCCGAGCCTTGGAAAGGGGGAGATGCGCACACTCGTGCTACTGATCGGTGACAACTTTCGTAGGCTCTTCCGTCCCATTCCTAGCGCGCGTCATTTCGCAACGGTTGGAAGAGGCGCACGGGTGCGCTCGTTTGTTTTGCTCTCGTCGCCTCTTTCTCTCGATTGCCGGGGGTTGGTAGGGACTACTGTACACGGCCGTGTTTCTTGTTTCGGCTCGAGAACCAAGAGGACCGTGTATGTTCTGATGGGAGTTGGTGGGAAAACATGGTGCGGGTGGTCGAGAACGGCTTGATTTTTTTTCTAGATTTTTTTTTTTTGCACTTCGACTCGACGAGCAGCTTGAAAGTCCTCTCGTTTTTTTTTTAATATATATGCCTTCCGTTTTTTTTCTTCATCTTGCGACGAAAAGAAATAAAAATCGTTCTTTGGAGGGCGACAATAGTACGCTGGCGAGGAAAAAAGATGATGGGCTGGGGGAGAGAGAGGCGTGAGATAGACGGGGAAAACACGGTGGGGTCGTGAAAGAGTGAGGGCGAGGCAGAGATAATTGATCGCCACGGTCCGATCCCTTGAAACGCACGCCGCCATCCAGTGGAGTACATGGGTGATGTATTTTGGGCTATAGTGGGAAGCTCGCAGCGATTAATTTTGAAAAATGTGTTTGGTGGAGAAATCAGTCTTGTGGGGGCCATATAGATGCTGGCGCTGGATACTCTTGCGGTGTTCCGCAATGGGTATTATGAGAGAGGTCATCATTGTATTGGTATTCAGGGTGGTTGGGTTAATTTTGTTTTGCGGTTTTGGTGTCAGGTGCGGTGACGGTAGCGGCTTGGCGCGTCACGCACACACACACAAGTGAAACTGCATTCCACGAAGGCATTCCACGACAGATGAACGATTCAGGCAGGCGGCACCCTTTATGTGCGAATCGCTTTCGTTGTGGAGCTTTTTTTTTTCATTAGGGCCTGCTCGACTTTATTCATGATCCTGTTGTGAAAGCGTGATGGAGAATACTCCTGTGCGACCTCCCTGTCCGTGTGACCCTGGCTCTGGTGGCCTCTCGTACATACTTTTTGGACGACGTCCAAATAATTTCGGATTGTGCATGTGCTCCCTCCTGAGGAGGCTCATGAAAATACAGTGTGATCAAGGGGTGATGCACGATGAAAATTGCAGGGAGCAGGACCAACCCACAGCTGGCTTCCAGCTACACGAGGTGACGTTTCCAAAGTTCAGCAGCTCATACACAGCTGACTGAATGTGTTTGTGACTCGAAGAGCCCAACGAAATAGAGTTTTTGTTGCAAACCTGCATACTGTAGTCTTTCAACTCACACGTGCCTTTCCGAGTGAAAGAACTCTCCGGTCCAGGGCACGGCAAATATTTTTTCTGCGTTGGTCTAAGAGTGACCTTTCCCTTCATTTCTATTTTCCGCGAGAAAAGGTAGAGCACTCCCCTCACTCGAAACGTGCCAGAATCAGCGCTGACTGATCTGTAGTAAAATAGGACATGATCCTGATGTCCGAATGACTCGACACTTTTCCTTCGAAGGGAGAGGCCTAGACTAAGGTTAATTCCGGTGCAATTCTTCTCTACTCACGAACCACATGCAGTTCAGTATGTCCAGGGTCGTCTCCGATGTCGAGTTTTCTTTCCGTCATTCTGCTATTGCATCATCGACTATATCCGAGTGTCCGAGGTCTTCGATAGAATTTCACAAACAAGTGTTCAAGCTTGGATTCGAAACAAAGTGCATCTGGGAATCTCACAAGGATTGAGATGTTCACCCGGCGAACCAGGAGCTATGGTAGACGTCACGGCCGCCGTACTGCGCTCGGCCGATGACATGACCAGATTGTTGCGGGAAACCCCTGGGCCAGAACCCATCGAAAGAAACGAAAGAAGCGTCAGCAATTGAGCGGCACGAGGTTCGATTTCACACCCTCGCGAAGAGTATTTTTCACTAGCCAACAGAATGAACATTTCCTTTGGCTGTTCTGGTATACTTCATATCTTGAATGTTCACCAATTTGTGTGAGCTATTATGCTCACATAGGGAGTTCAGAATCTGGGCTAAACACTACCGGAATATGTGTGGACTACATACGTGCCTGCATAGTTATTCAGCTATTCGTTTGACCTCTCATCGTCGAACGCGCTTCTTGCTCATTCGTGAGCTACGGTGAATTTTCGGTGAAAATATCAAGTCCTGTCTATAACCAATATCCACATGCCGTCGAAAGCGTTTCTTGTTCATACGTGGGTGAACTACGGCGAATGTTTGTGGAAGGTTCTCCCTTAATGTTTATGGGTCTATCACCGCACTTCGCCGAAAGCGTTTTCTTGTTTATAAGTGAACAATTGTGGGTATTTGATCAAAATTTCACAACTGCTAGATCAAGGAGTGATCTTGTTCAAGCCCCCTGTATTCTCGGTACCACAAGAAAGCCGCGCGATGAAGTTTATTATGCGTCGAGATATCTCTTGGTGGCTGGGGTGGGCAAGTCGAAGTTTCCACTCCATGGCGCGCAAAAGGATATTTTTCAATCAATGAAACGATATTTGTGCTCTCCACACCTATCTCCCTCTCTCACTCCTCCACACACAAATTCTTTCTTCGAACCCATCGATGATACGGTGCGCGGTTCATTGACTACCGTCAAGAACATGAGGGAGCCGACGGAAGAAAAGGAAAGTGTTGCAATAAGTGAATTGAACCGCACCAATCACCCGAGTGAGAGAGAGCGCGGGGTGGAGAGGAAGGAGGCGAGAGCGGGGCAAGGAAGGGAGAGAAACAGAGAGAGGGGGAAGTGACCAAACAACGGTGGAACGTGGGGAGCAAAGTGCAATACGGCATTCATTCGGGGTGCGATGCTTACGAAAAATCCCGTCAGCGCCTTTACAAGAGGACTTGGTCTACCGAGTCGCAGGCCGTGTGGAGCAGGTACATGCACCTCTGGGTCTTTCTTTATCGACGAGGTTGGAGTGGGCTAGCCACTGTGGCTAGCCACTGTGCTTAAAACACGTACAGGAGGTATATAGATAACCCAGGGTGAAGATCGTACATTCTTTCCTGTAGTCTACAGTAGACGTGTCCGTCCGCATCTACAACTGTATGCACTGCTGTGCTCCCGAGGACTCACTTTGCCATTGGCGATGTCTTCAATACTGCTGTGTACACCGGCGTGTCAAACGACTGAGATTCCTTGCTCGACTCGGTCGCTTCGTTTGGGGCACGTTTGATCGCGTTCGGTCTTGCCGATCCCCATCCCGAGGATATCCCATTCACGCACTGGACGTTCTGAATGAATCCAGATGCGGTGCACTCACTCTTGGGGGCGTGGTTGTTCAGTTCGATTTGCTCTACGGGGATGTAACGAGAGTGCCTGGCCCGTTTCAGGTTGTCATCACCGGAACAGCCTGTAGCGTCTCCGCATGCCGTAAGTGACGCGGGTCAAGAACGGCGTTCCGGGTGGCGCGGAGGCGGCGGCGGTGTCGCGCCGATGTCGTCTTGATCATCATGGACGATTGGAACGTGGGAGACCTGGTGCTGAATACATAGATCGCCGAAGAATCTCCTCCACTTCCGGAAGGCGCCTCCCTCACCCAGAAACACCTTGCGGCTCTTCTCGTCCTATGAATAATCGGCGTCGCATCATCTACCACATATTATCAAGACTCGAGTGTTCACCTACCACCCAACAAATCCTCGCCGTCATATTGGTGTTTAGGCAGGTCCCGCCACCACGTTCTTCTCCAAGTTGATCTCGATTCCCATGCTTATTGCCTTTCGCACTTTCTTTCACGCAGTTCAAGCTGCCTCCCACCACGTTGTGTCGAGGTGTTTGTCCGTTCACTTCCTGGGAGGGAGGAGAGAGTGCACTTTTTTCCTAGAAGAGCGCCCGTGAATGTGCCCAAAGTCGCACCGCTATGGCATCCTTCGCATATTGCATCGGCCTCCCTCGAGCCACACTATCAAGGCGACGGCTGCCATTTTGTCCGCATCGATCTGTACGGTGGCACTTGGGCCTGTAGGTATTTCGTGCGCAGATTTCATCTGAAGTTCGTAGAATCAGTTTTCGTGGTTTGGTGCAGGCGTGTTTATTAGGCGGCGAGATTGCGATTGAGACATTCGAATATTGTACACACAACACGCAGCAGCGACACGCCGGCGTTGACGGTGGCACGGCAGGGGCCATGAAGCGGAGCCGCAGTGGGACGAGGCAGGCGAGAGGGAAGGGTGGTAAATTGCTGCATGGGGTGGTGGCGTGCTGCACCGGTGTGACGAACACCCTCAAGGTGTGTCCAGAACTCGTTGTTCAAATCTCGGTTGACAACAGCGAAGTGCGCGCGCGGTGTCTACAGCATACAGCCGTAGTCTACTGCTACGGTTGGACCTTTCCACAGCAAAAAGCGACAGCGCACTGCTGTGCACAGACGAGCAATACAACACTGGCTGAATGGCTAGCTCAGCCCTTCCCGGCGGCGATTGATGCTGCGTGTGTTTTTTTCGTGGGTACAGAGGAGCTCCCCCGGGAAAGCCCGCTGTACAGAGTAGGTTGCCCCCTTCATGTGTTGTACAGCAGTACAGCTGTCCGCAGCATTGAGCAAATGACCAACGACCCAAATTGCAACCAAGAATTGGAAAATACCCTTCTTTTCACAACTGCGATCGATAGAGAGTGTAGAGTTGATCTGCTGATCTGCTCAAATAGAATTGCATATGAAAACGCGAAACAAAGATCGAGGGTAGAAATCTCGTGAGCTAACCCTAGACTACACACGTAATTTTTCGCGCATCCCAAAAAGGTTTTCCTCCACTCACTGAAAAGACTCCACCACATCCCGTTCGATTGTGGGTATATCTCGAACGGGTAGTCTTTTTGTTTGCGTATTTCTTTTTCCTAGTGAAGTTTGAGCGTGAGAGGAATTTCTGTCCGGGTATAAGGATCTTCGAGGTATAGTATTCTGGAGATGCACGTGGAAGTATCCTGGAGATGTCCCCTTGGCGTCATCGAGTCGCGGCAAGTCGGTCACCGGTCAGCGCTGCGCACCAGCAGGTGTATAAGGGGTGGCGTCCTGAAACAATCATGTTGACACAGATCGAAGCTTGGCACGTCGACTGCCGTATAGCCTATGCATACATGGCGTCGATCGATCAACCTCGATGGTTTCGATAAATAATCTTGGAGCGTGTTCTCCATGAATATGTTGACGACGACACGTTCACAGCAGGGAACGCGGTGAAAACAAGATGCACATTTTTCTTGAACGCGCGAGCGCACGGCACCAGCCACTACACCAAGGAGGCCTTTAACCACGATGGTCATATCCCGACGTTTGTTTTGTGCGTCCATTTGTTTTTGGGCGAAACGCAGGAGGACCTGAGGGAGAAAGTAAACGCTATGGGCGGGAGCTTCGACGTGAACCTGACCATGAGCACCACCCACCTCCTGGCGGCATCCTTGGACACAGAGAAGTACAGGGTAGCTACAGGGATGAAGGTGTGCGGGACGTTCGGCCAATGGTTTCCATATTGTTGTGGTGTGACTGTCGGCTGATGCTGCTGCTGCTGCTGCTGCTGCTGCTGCTGTTGATGGTGATGCTGTTGTTGTTTTTGTTGTGGTTGTTGTAGTTGTTGTCGTTGTTGGTATGGTTATTGTTGTTATTCTTGTTGCAGATGTTGGTGTTGGTGTTGGGGGCGGTGTGGGGGTGTTGCTGTTTTCGTTGTTGGCGGTGATTGTGTGTCAAAAAGGTGTTTGCTGTTGCATGGCTTGCTTTGGTACAGAGCTCTCCGGGTTCCCGCCTCTGTGTTGCGCCACTGCACGATTGCGAGAGGGAAGCGTGCTGGTGGAGGTGCGACCTCGACTCGAGTGCTCTTTCACAGGCACGGCGTGTTTCTGCCAGGGTCTACATGCACGAACGAGGTGGTGCTAATGACAATGCATCTCGCGTTCACGGTGAACCAACCCTTGACCCTTTTATTGTTTTTGTTTTTTGCACCTCTCTCATTCTCTATCTACTCAAGTTGCCCGCCTTTGACGCGTTTTAGTTTTGTTCCCTCTCTCATTCTCTGTCGACTCTCTTGCCGTCTCTGTGCCCCGCCCGCGTTCCTCGCCTTCTGTTTTCGGATTTGTTCGACCAGGGTGTTGTCGTCGTCCGACCGGACTGGGTGATCGAGAGCTGCAGGGAGGGACGAAAGCTGCCTTGCGAGTGCCACTCACTCCCGCCTTTCGAAGGGCTTCGTATCACAATCACAGGCCTATCAATGGGTATGTGCGGCACTGTTCGGTCTGTGATGTTTGTGCTTGTGTGTGGTATCGGTGGAAGCACTGCTGTTGCCCGGCGGTGTGATATGTCTTCCGTTGGTGTTTCACCGGCGGCCTTGCTTCTTTTTGGTGCTTTTGCCCAAACTCCAGTTCTATTTTGGCCACCGGCGGCTCTTGTTTCACTGTCTGGTTTTGTTGTTGGCGTTACGGTTGCGTTGCGGTTGTTTTCTGGGGGCGCACTACGGACAGAGGTCGCAACGCTCTACGCCGCCCCGCGCCCCGCCTTCGTATGTCCACTGCACGCCCCCCCCCCTACTGTGTTCTTTGCGTATGACTCGCAACCTCGATTCTTCCTGTGCTCGATTGGTAACCATGTTGCTGGGGTTGCGAAACGTCAGACCGCAAGGCGGAGCTACGAGCGATGATCGAGAGCGGGGGCGGTGAATACATGGGGGCGATGGAAGCGCGCAACACCACGCACCTGGTGGCAGAGGTTTGTCGTGTGTGTTCATGCGTGTACGTAACTAGTCTCCCGCGGGAAAAAGCGTCAGAGTTCTTCGAAAATAGACCGGTGCACGGGAAAAAGAATGTTCAACGCAGTCACCTCCGGCTGAGCGTCATCGTCTCCTATTAGGTGATATTGCCCCCCCCTCCCCCCCCCCTGAGCACATTTTCTCTCAAATGATGTGGCGGCGCCCCCATCGCTCTGGGAGTGACCCTTATCGTACGAAGCTAGGCTCGGTCTCCAGAAAAAAATAGAATGAGCGCGCTCCAATGGTTGGAAGCGCAGTCGAGAGCTCGGACATGCGCCAAATGGGTCCAACTATTCCCTTCCCCTGAGTGGTCAATGGCCCGACAACAAGAGCATGCAAAACATGAGTACGCCCCCCCCGAGCCCTCAGTGCCGAAGGCCTAACGGGTCACAGATTACCGGGCGCCCCGTGACACCTGTCCATTCAAGTAACAGTCGAAGAAGGATGCTTTGGTAGGTTGTTGAAGACGAAAGCTGGGTTCTACGCCGTCACCATGTCGCATCTTTACCATCTCCGGCGCCCCTCATTTTCTCACGCCTGGTTTTCGGTGACACAGGAAGCTACCGGCATGAAGTACGAAGCAGCCATCAGCCCCGAGTGGAACGGGAGTATCAAGGTCGTGCACAGTCGATGGCTCCAGCAGAGCCACGCCCGGAATCGTAAGTCATTGTTGTGCTGCTCGTTGTTGTATGTGGCTGTCGCGCCTTCCGACGCAGCTGCTCTTGTTGCTGAAGCTCTTCGCAGATCCTTGTTGCTGTTGCTGCACGACGGTGTCGTTGTGGTGTGTATATCTCGTTCGGTCAGAGGTCCGATCGCCCGCGTGGAAGCCTGCTCCCATCGTCGACATTCACCCCGCTGCACGCTCCAATCGACCCTGTTGATTCGTGTCCCCCCCCGCCCCTGCTCGCTCTCTCTCTACCAGTTCGGCTGCCTGAAGAACAGTTCCCCGTGGCACCCCGCCATGACGAAAAACAAACGAAGGAGGAGGAAGTGGAAGAGGAGGAGGAGGAGGAGGATCAGCAAAATGACGGGAGGGAGGGGTCGTACGAAGCACCAACGCAGGATAGCGGCAAGGGACGACAGCACCAGCGGCGGCGGCCGGGTGCTGGAGCTGCATCGGCAGCGGCCGTGACATCAATAGCAGCAGCAGCAGCAGCAGCAGTAGCAGAAGCAGCAGCAGCAACAGCAACAGGTGGCCCTGCTGAGCCCTCTTCTACAGCCGCGGCCAGCTCGCGCTATCCCTGGGCAAATGGGGAAGGTGGCAACGATGCTGCCGGCGGCGGCGGTAGACCAGAGGGAGTTCCCACCAAGGAAGAGGCGTTGGCGCTGCCGGACGGCGACTACCTCTCCGGCTGCCGCGTTATGATCGTCGGGTTTCCCGCGGAGGCGGTGCTGCCGCTCTCGCTCCTGGTTCGGAAGGGCTGCGGGATCAGGTTAGTGGCGGTGGGGGAGGGGGGGAGTCGTTCTTTTCTTCGTAGCCATGCTTTGTCGTGGTTCGACAATAGAGCATTTTCAGAACATTTCTGGTTGTTGAGGTCGGCCTCATCGTAGATAGTATATCCGCGGGAGGTGGTAATCGCGCCGGTTCATCACCCACTCGACGGTTTTTAATCCTCAGTCGTACATGACCAGGTGGGCTTTCGCATGAGAAAACCTATCATTGTTCGCAAAACGAAAGCGAGGACACTAAGGTTTCGCCAACGAACGTTGTTTCGTGTCCGGGCGGCGGTCCTCCGGCCGTGCCGAGGCTTTTGTTTTTGTTATTTCATCTATTGGATCGAGGGGAACAGGAACGGCTTGTCCCGCCTGCAGCACCGTTTGTGGTTCGTGGCACCTCGTGCCTTCTCAATCACCCCCGTCTTCCACGACTACACACTTTCTCCCCCCCCCCAATGGCGTTATCTTGTTTGGCACCTCAAACACAAGGACGATGACCAGCTTCTGGTTGTTCCATCCTTGCGAAGCGTACAGCCTGGGCCGTCGAAATCCCGGAACATTGCCCCGTCCCGGCGATACGATACGAGGTCAACGGACTTCACGACTACGGCATGCGTTTTTCAATGAACACGCACACACCCCCCCCGGGCCGCCCGCCGAACCCCCCCTCCTTTGAAAAATGTCAGGTACATCTCCCCGAACGAGGAACTGACCCACGTCGTCTTGGGAGACCGGGCGCTGGCCAAGCCCGAGCTGATCTCGGCGCTCGAGTCCCATCCGTGCACCCCCCCGGTGGTGCACGCGCTCTGGCTGCTGGAGACGTGCCGCGCGGGGCGGATGCTCCCGACCGATGGGTGAGCAGCGTTGGGTTCTCTCGGGGCCACCTCTTTTCCTCACATTCCGTGTGGTGTCGGTCGCCACTGTTGTTGGTGTCGTTTTCTGCTGTTTGTGTGTGAAGGCTTGCGCACGTGCGGGGGTTTGGTTGAAAGTTCGGGCGGCCGTGAGGTTTCGCTCCGGTGGTTGTGGTGGACGTGTCCTGTTGCGACGGTGGTGGTGGTGGTGGTGGTGGTGGTGGTGCTTTTGACAAAAGGGGGTATGCCGGCGTGGGACTGGCCCCCTCGCCCAGCAGCGTTAATAAAGCTTGTCTGTTGCCCCCCCCGGCTGATTTATGTTGGTTGTACCCTTTGGTTTGTTTTTGTCGTCCCCCTCGCCCAGAAGTATTAATAGTTTGCGCCCCCCCGGCGGCGCTTTCTTTTGGTGGCATCCTTTATTTTGTTTGGTCGTGCTCTCGTCACCATCCCCGCTCTTTTGCCTCGCATACATGCCCATGCTGAGCTTTCGCGGCGGCCCTTTTGATCGTGTCGTGCGTGTCCCCGCACCCGTCTCGCCTTTTCCGATCAACGCATCCGGCCCCCCAAACTCACACCTGACGCGCGCGAACACCAACAGGTACTTGAACCGGCCAACGGCTGCTCGGGAGAGGAACCGCGCAGCTGCTGGCAGTGGCGGCGGCGGCGGCAGCGGTGGCGGCGGCGGTGACGGTGGAGGAAGGGGCGGGGGCGGAGGGAGCGGCGGCCGCGGGTCCAGTGGGCGGAGGTTTGGAGTAGGCGCCAACAGGTCGATCGGTGGCGGTGGCGACGGTGGCGGGGGCGGTGGCGACAGCGGCGGCCACGCGGGTGACCCTCCCAAGAAGGGCAACAAAGCTGGCGGCCGGGGGGCGGGAGGGGGGAAGGAGACGGCGAGGATGGGTCACGGCAGCTCCGACGTATTTGGCAGCGGTGGGGACGAAAGTTGTGGCGATGGTTTGCGAGACTTAACGAAGGGGGCGAAAGGCGCCGCGGGATCGCTTCACGATCGGAGCGTTGTGAGTGGCACCGGTGTCAGCGCTGGCGCCAAAGTCGGAGGTCAAGCTGGGATCAGAAATGCGCCGTTCCCAGCGGGGGAGGCAACGCCAACCGCATGGGACTCATCCGCAGCGCGAGCGGCGGCTGCGTCAGTCCAAGAGCTCGTATCAGCATCGGAAGCGATACCGACGTCCGCGGCGAAAGCAGCACCAGCCCCTTCAGCGAGAGATGATATATTGACCATCGTAACCGACACGCCTTGTCCAGGCATTCCCAAGAGGAAGAAATCCGAGGAGAAGGAGGAGGAGGGGGAGGAGCTGGACGAAGACGGCGCAAGGCCGGCCCCGCGAGGACCTCGAACGCCAAAGCGACGGAGAACGACGACACTAGGAGGCCCCGTTGACAGCGGCAAGTGTTCGGCCGGCGGGGGAAGTACTAGCGGGAACAGCGGGAGAATCAGCACCAGCAGCGATGGCGGCGGCGGAGGGGAGGGTGCAGTCCGGGGGAGTATCAGCGGGAACCGAGGGGGCGACGGGGGCGGTGATGGTCGTAGGAAGCGCCGGCAACCTTCGTCGTCGATGTTCCGCGGGCGAGTTTTCGTCGTTCACGGAACCGGGCTAGGGAAGGAAGAGGAAGCGAGGATGGCGGGTCTCGTTGCAAGGTGCGTTCCCATCACCCGCTCTTTGGATTCGGCCACTTCAGTTATATTGTTTGTTGCAGCTACGCCGTCGTGTGGTACTTGCGTAGCAGCCACTTCCTTGCGGCTGCACCGACGTCGGGTATTTGTGTGGCTGTCACGGGCTGTTGTTGTTTCCTTTTGCTTGTTGCTCCTTTTGCTTGTTGCGGTGCGTCATTGCAGGGGGTGCATTGGGGGTGGAGGGAGTTTTCGAAGAATGGTACGATCGGCCCACACACAACAAAATTGACGTAGAAAAATATAGTACACCGAACTGTATTAGCATTGTTTTATTTCAATTTTTGTAGATTCTTTTTATCAACACTACCGCTGTGTTCCTCGTTCAATCGTCGCTGGGCTAAGGGGCAAGAGACTGAAAGCGAGCTCAGCGGTGTCGTTTCGTGCCTGCCGCCAAGAACCCCCACAAAAGCTCACGGCAATGACCACACCCGCTCCATGTTGGTCGCAGCCCCCTTGCATGAAGTATGTATGTGTCTTCACGGCACGTGCAGTCACGTTCGATCCATTTTCTTGTGGAAAACAGGGATCTTCACGTCGGCACAAGCGCTGTCACGATATATGGGGTGTGATGTGAGACAAGTTACCAATCCCCGTCACGGTGACGGCCTGTTGGTTCCAGGAAATCACACGTCGTGCTCCTTTTTCTCCGTCTTGGTACAGACATCCCACGTTGTATGTCTACAGTACTCTTCTTCTTCATGTCCAAGGCATGTTAAGGGCTATGGTCGCTTTCCAAGCGCGCAAAAAAAAACAAGAACAGCAGTTGACTCGTGCTCCAGGAAAATGCTTGATACCCGAAGAAAATCTTCCCTTCCCTGCTACGTCTTGTGGCGATATTTTCGATGCTTGTTCGTCGCGTTGCCACTCTTCTCCGCCTTGGAACTGTTTCCCCTCTTTCCCACCGCCGGCACACCCCATGCGTTAGCCGCCAAGCCACCCCACACCCCATTCGCCCCCCTCTTCCCCTCGGATCAGGCACGGGGGGCGTTGCCTGGACCCCAGCGCCTCTACTCCGTCCCTCCTCCGACGGTCTCTCCTCTCCGCCGGCGTCGAGCTTACGTCCGCCGCCGCTCCGGCCGCCGCCCCCTTCGCCCCTCCCTGCGAGGAGGAGCATGTCGAGGCTAGCGGCGACGGCGGTGGTAACGTCGACGACCACGTTGCTGTTTCGTCCTCGTCCTCGGCGTGGTCGTCGACGGCGACGATCGGCGGTGGTTCTGGTTCTTTCGCGGGTTCCGGTTGGGCGGAGGGGCAGCGGTGCGCCGCTGCCGCCGGCGTCTTGATCGTCGGCGCGCACGGCCGTTGTCCGTGGGGAGCCCTCGCGGCCTGCAGCGGTGGCGTCGGCAACGGCGGCGGTGGCAGCGGCGGCGATGGTGAAACCGTCGCGATGCCGGGGGGGCTGCGAGCTCTCCTGGAGACGGAGGCGAGTGCGGAGGCGGTGTCGACGCTCTGGGTGGAGGCTTGCCACCGCGGCAGCGAGCTCCGGCGGCCTGGCTTGTGCGAGCGGGCGTTCCGCCCGCAGCCCTGGCCGATCAGAACGTTCTCAGATGTTTCTTGCGGTTCGTCCTTCTCTTCTTCGCCTGGGACGACGACGGCGGCGGCGGGCGGTGGGCGAAAGAACGTCACAGCCCGCGATCGGCCTCCAGCCATAGCGGTGAGTTTCTTTTAGTTTTGTTTTTTCGCGGTGCATGACGGCGCGTGTTTTTGCCGTTCCTTACGCCCGCTCTTTGGCGGGGTTTGAATCGGGGAGCACGAGCTGGCTCGCAGGCCGTTGTGTGTGTTCTGCTGCCTGTTGGGTGGGTACTCGTAAGAGGCGGAGAGATGCTATCCCCCCTAGTCCTGCTTTCAATGGCTCGGTTGATCCACCACCAAGCGGGTACGGCAAAAGCCCCATACGTCTACGGAAAACCCTCGACGAGATGTTTCTAAAACCATTATCGTCCGTGTTGGTACGAAAGCTTGGGTAATTTATGGAGCAATCGAGCTATGAAAATCAGTCTAGGGAGGAGTGCCACCTGTCCGCCGCTTACGGTACGCTCTGCTGCGGTCGGTCACGGTTACGTGGAGTTGGCGCATTCCTTGGCGACACTAAAAACGAAGCGTGCCCCCATTCCTGAGACCGAAAACATCCGGCGATGCAGGTGACAGGCTTTGTCGGGGCCGAGAGGGCAGGGTGGGAGCTGCTCATCCAGCGCATGGGGGCGACGATGTGCAAGAACCTCAAGAAAAGGGTCACGACCCACCTGGTCTGCAAGGAGGCGAGTTGTTGGAGGGGTTATCTCAGAAGGAGGGAACAAGGATAACATGGAGAGATCGATCAGAGAGTTTCGACGAGTGAATCGGAAGATCGTGGTTGTGTCATGTACTGCTAGATACACATGCATTTGGTGAGCGTTCCCGACGTTGCGTAACAGCAGTATAGTGTCTTTGTGACGTGCAGCACCGGCGCGCCTGTGGTCCACCTTCTCGTCTTAGTGGGTTGGCACGGGAGGGTTCAGATAAGTGAAAAATGAACAACGAATCGTCTGACTGTGATTCAAAAAGAGTTTGGGTTTCTGCCCTACCAATGATGTCGTCCGCTGTTGCAGAATCGTTTTTTTTTGTCGTTAATGAGAGGTACTGTACGCGGCCCGTCTTCCTCCAGATGGGTACCCGAGGTGACACAAGATATCACACCCCCTTGACCGATTTTCAGAGCTCGATTGCTCTACACCAGAGAGAGTGGTGGTGTCGGAAACGGCGGTGTGAAACCGTCTCGTCGAGAGCGCGCCTGTACGTTAGTGTGGGTGGATTTCTCTTCGTGGTGGAGCAGTCGAGCTTTCCAAATCGGCCCCGGGTGTGTGCTATCGTATGTCACCTAAAGTACGGCGTTCCTGGTTTGCGTACGATCGCCCAGCACGAGGCAACAAGGGAATAAATCCTGCGGTAGAACGACTGCCCAAGCGTTATATCACGAAGGAAAGCACCCCCCCCCACACATCTACTCATCGTCCAGCCGGTTGGCACTGTTGGCGCCGACGGCAGCCGCACGCACACTCACATCACATGCCAGCCCGACCCGCTCCGACTCACATCTGCTGTATTTTTATCGCGTTTTCTTCTCTTTCTTCGGGGACGCCCATCCAAAAGACCCGCGTCTTCCGTGCTGAACATGGCGCGTGTCTGCTGTGCCATCGCCCATTCCGTCCCACCCAATTCCGTTCCGTCCCGGCGTCCCGACAGGCGAAGGGGGAGAAGTTCGAGAGAGCCATCCAGTGGGGGGTGCCTGTCGTTACGGCGGGGTGGCTCTTGCGGTGCGCGGAGCACGGATACGAGCCTGGGCTGGAGGGAAGTTTCGCCCCTCCCCAATCGCTGTCGACAGTGGCACCGGTGGACACGGCGACGGAATCAGCTTCAGCAGCTGCAGCTGCAGCAGCAGCGATAGCGACAGCACGTGTGGGTGTGCCCGTGGATGAGAACAAACCAACGCCGCTTTTTTCGGCCGGTGTTCATGGGGTGGAGCACGGGCCGTCGGACGGCAGCCCCCACAACAAGAGCAGAAGCAGCAGCAGCGGCAGGGTTGCGGTTGCGACTGATTGTGAAGTGATGGTCCAACCGCCATCGCCACCCGCCATAACCGCAACGACTTTTGGTGCTGGCGATGGAGGCGAGGCCCTCCCGATTGAGATAAGTGGTTCCACGCGTGAGGGGGGCTGTGGACGATCGTTGCCATTGGCGGGGGGATCACCGCTACTTCCCCAGCGTCAGCACCAGCAACCGCAGCGGCACGAAGGTGACGAAGTTCGCGGTGAAGGCGGTCACCGCCCCAACAACCCATCCGGAGACCCTCGCGCCCTCGCCCGTGACTTGCTTGCTGCTGGCGGTCATGCAGAAGTCCCCCCGCTGTCCCCAAGGAAAGCTCCGAACGATGAGACGGCGGACCCCGAAAAGGCGGAGGGGATGGAAGCCATTCGGACCGTGGGAGTGGCGAGCGCCGTGGTAAGTCAGTTCTCCACACCACCACCTCTCGCGATGGGTGCTTGCCGGGATGTTTCTGACCGCGCGCGCGCATCGTCGGATAGGATGGCGTCACGAACTGCCGCGGGCGGCGGCGGCGGCGGCGGCGGCGGCGGCGGCGGATCGGGGAGCCAAGAGAGCGGGGAGCATCACGGCAAGGGTTGGCCAAACGAGAGGGCCGTGCATGGTGCGAGGGACGGCAACAAAGACGAAACCACCAACAGCATACGACACGACAGCGATGTCGGCCATAACGACAACAGCGCTAAGGCCGCAGCCACTTCGGCTACTACCGAGAATACCGCCCCCAGTAGCGGCCTTGAACAGCAGCTCCTGTCGATGCTTTCGGGGGCCCGGCGTAGCAGCGGAGGCGGCGGCGGAAGCCTCAGTGCCAACGACGCCCCTCCGGGAGGAGCGGGCCGTCTTCAAGGACCCCGGGCGCGGAGGCTGCGGCTGAACGCGTGGAGTGCCCGCCCGACGTCGACTCGCGCAAGCCCCTCGGCCGAATCGTCCGCTCCTACATGTACGGCCGGCGGTACCGGAGTTTCGACTCGAGGTGCCCTGGGTGAAGCTGCGAGAGGGTCGGGTGTCGCGCCGTCCTGCTTTCCGCCTCCCGCTCCCCACCACCTAGCCTCTTCTCGACTTCCACCAGTCGGTGACGGAGGCACCCCCTTTCGTGGCCCGTTTTCGGCGGAGACTGGACATGCAGCGGTTGGCCGCTTGAGTGCTGAGGGGTCCTCGTCAAGCCCTAGCGGCGCTTCTCCTTCTGGTTCGTCAGGACGAGAGTCCCGAGCAGGGCCGGGAGCAGCAGCAGCAGCAGCACCAATGATCTTTGTAGCCGACAACGTCGACGAAAATGACCGTGGAACAGCCGCATCCTTCTCGCCGTTGAGTGGAACTGGCCGTCGTCCGGGGGGTTTGAGACCCGGTCGCCGTTGTCAGCAAAACGAGGGCTTCGACGGAGGAGTGGGTGTACCCCCCCGAGATGCTCGGCCTCTTCTTCATTCTCACGAGCCGGGGCCGCCGTCTGACGGGAAGACGGATGGCGGCGGCGGCGGCAGCGACGGCGGTGTCTGCGGAGGCGTTGTGGTCGGGCTTGAGAACGAACCAGGCGAATGCTGCAGAGGCGGCGGCGGCGGCCTCGACGGAAGACACCGGGACGGCAGTCTTCCGAGCGGGTCATCGTCTGATGGTACCGGTAAATTCGGAAGCGGTTCACTCACGGCAGCTGAGCAGGAAAACGACAAGTCGCAGAGGAGACGCGGCGGCGAGCAGTACCCGGTAAGAAGGCGTCTGTTTGTATGGAGGAGTGCAACTGCGAGAAATAACGTTACTACTCTTGCGGGGGGGGGGGGGGGGGTCGCGTCCCGGTGCGACATGGAGGACGTAGATTTTCACCCTGCATGACTACGGTACCTACCGCTTGGCTTGTTGTTCGAAATGACGGTGTTTGTTGTGAGGGCACTGCCAAGGGGAGGCTGGTATTGGTGGTACCCGAGGTGTAGCTATTGCCGTCGCTTTCTCTCCATCAACATGGAAGAGGAAGCAATGACACCATTCTACCACATCCTTTATGCGCCTTTTCGCCTGTGTGTTGGTTCAGACCGCGGCGGAAGCGCCCCGCGGCCAAGATAACCAGCAGCACCGGCAAGAAGAGCATGCGGACGGCGGGGCGGCGACGGCTTGGTACGGCCGTGACACAAGCAGCATCGACAGCGGCGGGAGTAGGCGGCGGAGTAGTAGCGAGCGGGGGCTTGACCCGAAGCGCCCCCCCGTCCGTCGGCATCAGCAACGGCGTGAACAGCGACGGCCGCAGCGGCAACAGCACGACCGACAGCAGCACAACCAGGAGAATCGTTGTTGGCACCGCCACGAGCTAGAGTATCAGCAGCAGGACTCGCTCGAAGTGGAGGAAGAGTCCCAGATCGTGACGTATGGGGAGCAGTACAACCCCGCTACGGGGTGGATCCGATAGCAGTATGTGGTACCATATACCGATGTAGGTATATATTGTACCGATGTGCAAGACTATGTCGATGTCAGTGCGAGAGCGTGGCGCGCAGGAAAATGGTGTCGTATGAAACGGTGTTCTGTGCTCGGGTCGCATGGGTGGATTGCTGTAGTGCGATTTTTGTTTCGAAAGAGGCGCAGAACCCACATGCGTGCTGTTTTCGGCAAACTCCTTTACCGAGCACTTGTTCTTGTCGGGGGCACCCCTCCCTGTGCTCGCAATATTGAGGGAGTGAAGCGATAACACTGCAATGTACAATAGCCTAGATTGTGTTGGTCAATGGAGCAGTCGGACACGAGGGTTGCATGGAAAGGATAGTGGCTTGTTCGAGGCCGTTTCAAACGGTTACTCCTTCGATCCAGCTGTACCGATTTGTGCGGAAATACGCGAGTACAAATCACACTTCTAGGATCGATAGCTGGGGTATCTTTGTATCTTTGCCGCCGTCGCTGTAAAAAGTGAAGCTCTTGCCCCGTTATGCCTTATTCTGGACAGAAGTATCCCGTACCCCAACATGCGGCGGCGAGCTCTACGTAAATTATCCTTTCTAGAGTATGCACCAAGACGGACCTACGTGGGGGTGTTTACAACCGACGTGTCAAAAACACCGTATTTTGGGTATCTAAATATCCCCGCCCCGATTCTCAAAGCCCGATTGTTCCACAACCAAACTTGTGCCAACACCAACAATGACGTGGTTCTGGAAACTTTCGTCGAGGGCTTTTCGTAGACCTATCGGGCTCTTTCCGCACCCACTGGTTTGTGGAGCAATCGATCTTGACAGCAGTAGTGGGTCAGGGGTTGTGCCATCTCGACAGGATTTGTCTGTAACAATCGCCGCCGCGAAGAAAATGTGGAACAGCAGTAGCGATGGACAAAGCACACATCCTTATTGTAATCCTGGTGCGACATCGAACCAGCCATGCGTATGCACGCAGCAGCAGCACTTGACTATCACACTACTGCTGTACTGCTGCTGTATTAGGAAACATAAATACAAACACAGAAAGACTACCCATTCGAGATAAGATGTATGCTGAAGAATGGAATGGAAGAACACGGCAGAAATTGTGCCGCCGAACCATGGGCAGACTTTTTTGTCACCATCCGTGGTCGCCTGTGGTTACGTGGTTACGATACCTCATTTGCCGGAGACATAACTGTGACTGTCATGCATGACATTCCGCCGCATGCATAGATTCTATTCAGAAAACAAGCAGAGGAGAGGCCGGTGCGACCGCCACCGCCCAGGCACGAGTTGATTGGGAATCAATACATCAATGCTTCGTTGACATGTTCGGAATTTTATTCTCGTGACGTCACAACTGAGAAAGTCTGTCTTGTTCAAAGTGCGGCAGAACCTCGTTGTTCCCACAGCCGTTGGGCACATGCTTCGAACGTGGAGCACGTCGCCGTTCCTCTGAAAGCCAAGTTGTGAACTCCCGCGTGTCCGGCTTGTTGTTGGCAGAGGATGCGCTGAGCGTCAGCCTAGCTCAAAGGCTAGACTACTGCTGTAGTCAGGAAAAAGGTGAGGACATCAGTCGAGTACAACGAACTAGTTGATGCCGCGATGAGTGAAAAACAGAGATCTCCAGGTGGTCAAAAATTGTTTTTTGTGCGATGGGACCCGAGGTCCGAGGGTGAGCTTGCCGTTGATCCGCGGGTGTTGCATGGCATGTTCGATTACTGGCTAGGCTGTACCATGGTACGTTGATTGCTACAGGCAACGGTATATGCATAGGACACACGCACGCGCCGTGTGCAGCAGTGTCGCACGTGGAGACCACTTGCATCCGTGGAATACTTCACCAGCTTTTTTGTACGGGTGACTGCAAAAAAACGTTGCGTGGTCACGATATACCGAGGCCCGCAGCGGTATACCGCACGACCACGCCGAGAACACATACATACAGCTTTCGCAGGGAAGACACAGCAGGCAAGAGGTTCACGAGCGAGCGTTTGTAGAGAGAGGTGGTGGTATATCTTTGTGGCGATCCGAGCTGTTTTGTCATAATCGAAATCGGATTTCCAAAAGTTCATCAAATTCATCTTTCATCTTTTTCTGTTCTGTGTCTTCGCCTGCTAAGGTTGATTGTTGGGAGAGCGGGTAATCAAATATAAGAAGCGAATGTTTCGTTCACTTTTTGACCACAATTACGTTGCAGAAGCGAAGGGACAACCGCTACACCTCCTGCAGACAGACGACATACGGTATCCTCTGCCGTCGAACACATCATCGCAGCATCGGCACCCTAAAGACACGTCCGCTCTGCACGGCGTTTGACAGACGGGAACCAACCGCGGAGGCCAGCGGGCGCTTCCATCACGCAGATCCCCCAGACCGCTGAGACCCCGCAGTTACACATTCTTTTGCTGGTGTGCCACACGCGGAAGACGGCGGGAGACCCTGTCTGTGGTAAGGAGTAATAAGGAGAGCAAGCAAGAATGCGAGAGAGAGGACGGTACATCCAATGATAAATCGGCTCACATGAGCAAACCCTTCGTACCTTGTCATACTAAACATAGGCAGGGATTAGCGGCGCGTGGCTGTTGAGAGGAACCAGCCATGGATGACACGATCACGAACTACAGATGTATGCATACGAACCCTGGGTTGTTATCGCAGCATCACGACGCGGCGGATACGCGCACAGGTGCCCGCACTCATGAAGCTTTCGAAACCAGCAGCAGCAGCACCGTCCGTGGAAAGGTCTCCTTGCGCCATTTATTCCAGAAAGCCGTTGCCTGAGGCATTTACTAGCCGAGATACAGCAGTGGTGGCGCCTGCTGCGGTGCTAAACACATGGCTATGGCCGAGGATGATGTGTTGCGTGAACGATAGATGGACGTGCTGTAGAATAAGTGCTGGTGGTGTTATCATCCATTGGCACACTTCGAGTCTTTCCGTACTTTTGAAAAGACGGAGCAGCGAGTGGCGGCCGTGGTGCACAACCCCAAATGTGAGGAAATGTGGGCGATTATCCGCTATAAACCGGGGCACTATCCTCGACAGGTTCATGCGCTTGTTGTACTGCAATTCGTATGCGTACGAAGGTAGACGAGGAATGTCGTAAGATGATTCTTCGCGTTTCTTTACACAAATAATTCGGGAGTTGACCCGAGATACATGTAATGTGTCGAAACAGCGCTCGATTTCTCCACAGCAGAAACAGCAGTGGAGGTGCTGAAAACGGCGGCGTTTGAGCCGCGTCGTGCAGAGCTTTGCGAAACATATCGTTTCAATTCTGATCCTCTCCCTCGTGGAGTAACTGAGCTTGAAACATCGGTCCAGGGCGGGGTGGTATCTTGTGTCACCTACGGTAAACAAAAGCAAGCTGGTTATACTCGCCGAACGATTTGTTCAGAAAAGGTGTGCTGAACTCTTTTCCGTGAGTGGAGGGAAGCCGGCTGGAAACTGGTCTTATTTCGAGTCTATCGAAACCTACAGTAGATAGATACACTGCTGTGTAGGTACGTTTTCCAGTTTCTCCTTCCTTGTGGTTCTCTACCGGGTCAACGACAAAAATATCGGGGAGAAGCCCTCCGCTATGTGTGTGTTACATAAAATGCGACCTTCACAGGGAACACGGCGGTGCTGTGTCGTTCGACAGCCTTCTTTCTGGTTTATGACTTTTTTGTATTTGTTAAATCTGTTTGAATCTATTTTCATCTATTTGAATCTTGTATTTGGTTTATTAGAGCAGCTTTCTTTTCCCCGCTCATTTTTAAATTTACAAGTAACGCGACATTTGATAACCTTGTGTGATGAGCGTAGTAAGTGATTTGCATTGGACAGGACTGGTATACATCGTATAGCATGGAAGTAAGTGATAGAAGTTCCGTTGGAGTATTTGAATGGAGTTCACTCCTTGTTGTGAGGGGGACAACAGAAGAAGCAAAACGCGGCGATCAACATGGGCGGCAGCAGAAGAATTTCCCTGTTTTTCTCAGACGATATGTGTCGATAATGTTGTTGAGAACATTTGAAGCGTGGCGTGTCGTAGCCATGGAGTATGATTTTTCAAGCTGGTTCACGGATATGAACCAGAATTGGTTCAACCACAGCTTTAGCTGCAAGCCGAAATCACAAAATTGACATATGTGGTATCTTAGTGACCCCCATGAGCAAGGGAACAAGTCGTCATAGCCGAAATCTCGATCAGAGCCATGATCTCAAAACTACAGGCTGAGGCACATCAGAAGCCTTCAACATGATAAAAACTAAAGAAATCCATGCAACACCGCATTACCAACCCTGCCGAAGTTTTGAAACAAGGCAATCCATATGTTCTAGGGTACGTAACTTAAAAAAAGAAGATAAAACGCTTAATAGTGTGGACGCAAGCAATGGCCAAAATGGTAGTGTTTCGACGGCCGCGATTGGGCGTCGTCGAATTTCCACTGGATTGTGTGGGATAAATACAGAGAGGCTTTCGTATTGGTTTTGCCTTGAAATATCCAACGAAATATTTTTCTGTCCTCAAATTTGACATTGGGGTTCAACGAAGTGCCCCGGAAAAAAGAAACGGAGGGAATGTGTGGACTCCTGACCGGCTTTGAAGGGTCCTAGGAGTGTGTCACTATCACATTTTTTCCCGCTCAACAGCTCAAACGAAGATTTACCGAAAGTTTTGTGGGATAACTTGTAAAGCTGGCGCAACACGGGGCGTTGAAGTGTGGGGGCAGCGCGGATACGATTCTTTACTAAAATCGAGTAGTTTGGGGGGAAACGCTGTGTGGAGCCGCCTTTTTTTTTTTCCATAGTCGCCAGTTGTTCGGGGTCCCAGGAGCCGCACACAAGACCCCGAAACCCGTCGGACCCCGCATATCCGGAGACAGAAAAAAAAAGCGGCGCCACACAGCACAGCGTTTCGCATTTTCCCAACGGACACGAGTGCAAAGTTTCAATGTCTAACTCCTAAAAACGGCGTGAGGTTTTCACGTCGAATATTGTTGTATCCATT